ATAAAATATCACAGAAAAAAAGATCTTAATTCAGAAAAACAACGCAGCTCAGCAGTCAAAACAGGAAGGGAACAGGATGCGTCTCACCAACAGCTACAGTAGCATCCGCTATTATTCCAGGATTATGTGTTTAACACCTCAGAGGGTGTGAATACTTTTTTCCTAGTACTGGAGTTATATAAGGACTCAGACTTTCCAATAAAACCAGTTCTTTTGCCTCACAGCATTCGCTCCCCTCCCTCATCGTGTCCCAGTCCCGTTTCTAGTCATTTCCAGGAGCGAACGCACGCTTTTGTTGTTCAGGAGCTTCACGTTATGTTTTTACAGCAGAGAGGAGATTTAGCCTCAAAGCCGGATTATGAGGAAACAGCTATTTAACGGCGGGAGTGAAAGGCAGCTGTAACAGTGAGGGAAGGGATTTAGTGCGCTGCTTAATGGTGTGGCAGCTAAGTAGGCTGCTGGTAAGAATGAGCTAATCTTCAGCAATCCCATTAAATCTCACTGCAGTGGAAGAATGACCATGTTCTCTGCAGCTTCAGGTCTCCTGGAGACGCTTTTGTCCCGGACAGTTTGGAGTGTCTCCCCCTCTGTGGTGCCTTCAAAGCCGCATTATGGGAACACCGGGAATGGAGGAAAGGAGCCTGTTTTTCTTTTTACGCGTCCACGCTTTGCTGATCGGAGTGGATTTGCTTTTATTTACTGCAGTTTAACAAATGCATTTTGGTTTCAAGCGGATTGATTTCTATAATCAAAACAATCGGTCTCATAACTCCATAAACATCGATCTGATGAAATGAAAGCTTCCTTTCCAGGGAGCAATTTCTGTGACGTATCATCAGAGAAGAGGAGATTCCTATGTATTTATCAGGATTTATCTTTTATGCAAATTAGCAAAGAATACTTCCATTAATAAGAAGACAAATACTCATCTGCAAAATAATTACAAAGAGAACATTTTTATGACCAGAAAAGAAAACAAATAAAAAATACCACTAAAGTATCTGGATTTATTAAAGCTAAGAAGGATCCGGAATATCTGGGTTCTCAGACGTCTGGAGAAATGATTAAATCACAGTTAACTTCTATTCAGTTTATTTCTATAGAGACAATTCTGAACACAGCTCATCTCAAAGTACGTTATA